TAAAATATTCATTTTATCATTTAAAGTTTCTTGCAAATCCTGGGAATTTTCCATAATTTTATCACTGATTTTATTATTCAAATTGTCTTCTAATTCTTGTAAGGACGAGTCAAGGTCACCTTCCAGCTCGAAGTAAAATGTGTCAGGATCCTCACCTTCCTCCACCAAAACGTCTCTCAGTCTAGCTTGCAAAATGCTTTTTTTTTTCATCTGTCTCGCACTCTCTCTCTCTTCCAATATGCATTTCAGTTCGGACACTTTCAAGTCTTTCAACAATTTTTTCAGAGCCATGGTCAGTCTTTTTATTCTTCTAGTCTATCACACACGCCACACTTGACACCAATTGTTACGTTTTTCGTCGGTTCCGTGTGGATAGAAAGTCACAATTTATTTAAACACTATTTATTTAACACTAATTAACAAAAACAATAACGATAAAAGACTTATAAAACTATTTACAAACGATTTATAACTAAGAATTTATTTTGAATTTTAGCGCGTCAACTGCACTGGTATATTTATAACTGCCCTCTCTAGGCCACAGCCGCCAGCTTTTATACCTACAGTTAAAGTTTACTAGAATAGTCCATAGATCGTTAGGTGCATAGAGAAGGTTTCGAATGTTCTCGTATGTACTACTCCATTCCAGTGGGACTCGATCCTTCTCGAATCTTCGAATGAATCATTACGGTGTCTATGCGATGTTAAGGTCATCCGAGGGCGGGCCATATTGTTAGGTTAGGTCGAGTCCACACCGGTCCGCAACAATATACAGATTTTTATATTGTTACATACTACTAAACACACTCCGTTTTAATTAAAAGAATAGACAATTGTCAGTATCAATGTGTATTTTTTCACTGGACAATTGTGCTATACCGGGTGCGTGTCAAAAGTGGTTCACCACTATAACTTTTTTATTTTTTCAGGTAAACATATTTGGTATGTTACTATATGATTTAAATTAGGATTGATTGAGACATATTCAGTTATTTTCGGTCACTTCCTGTTTCACCGGAAGTGACTACAACTTTTGATTTTTAAATAACGCCTTTGGTATTCTTTTTACTTCATTAGAAAATGAATGACATACATTCTTGCTTAAAAAGTCGTATTTTAAAAATAGATTTGATCGCCTAATGTTTTTCCTAGCCGGTTAAAAGATGCCCAAATCGTATTTTTAATCCATGGCTAAAAATGTAACGACAATTTGACTCGAAATACCAAGTGTGTGGTGCCAAATTATTCGTAAAAAATCTTTTTACAAATATATTAATGAGCCACCCTCGTTCCATTTGAAGAAATTGAGATATGATTAAAAATACGATTTGGGCATCTTTTAACCAGCCAGGACAATCAGTATCCTATTTATTAGACCACTGATGTGTGTAAAACTATTATATCGTCATTATATATTGAAATCCGTCATTACCTGTAGTGCCTAGTCGTTTCACGTATTGCCCGCAAACTGAGTTTCTCTTCAATTGGTGCATCGTTTAACAGTAGATCTCAGGCATGGACATAAGTGAAAGTTGCTCGCCTATATCATAAAAAATACATATTTGCTACCTGTACTCCAGGGACCTGGAATATACAGGATTTTCTTGGAATATACAGGAAGAGTCTTAAGTAAGTGTAAATATTTTCAGGGCTGTTAAATCTCGATAAAAGAAACATATTTTCTCTTTACCGTTTTTCAAATAAGTCCAAAATATCCGAGTTATTTTAATTTGAAAATTTCCAAAAAAAATTGTTTAAACTTTGAGAATCGCTAGTAGTGATGGGTTGTTATTTAACTATTATTTAGAAATAACATAACGCAACCGTTACTACTTATAAAAAATAACAGATATAAAATAACGACACGTAGAGATCGGCCGCTCGTGAAACGAAAAACCCGCGAAATTCTATGCTGCTCGAAGCAATTCCAAAAAACAACTAGTATGGATGGAAAACATGTTATTTCGTCAACCATCGATACAGGCGGCGAGACAACGGACAACGGAGTGGGGAATGCGCTACGGCGAACGTAGCTGCTTCGGTCGACGCCGTCGGTGGTCGTATTGGGTTTGCAACAGCTTAAAAATAATAGGATATAAAAGAAGCAGGTTTTTTGAAACAGTTGCGGGCATAACGCCTGGCGGTCGAGATAACAGGAGTGGGAAAGGAACGCTGCTGCATCGATTGATTGTCGATGGAGGCTCGCAACGGGTTGGAGAAGCAGTCATTTTAGATACAACCTGTTACGAGCATAACAGGGCGACGGTCGAGATAATCGGAGTGGGAAAGGAACGCTGCTGCATCGGTCGATTGTCGATGGAGGTTCGAAACAGGTTGGAGAATAACGCATCAGTTGTTTTAGATACATTGTTTTTCAACCTGTTACGAGCATAACGGGCGGAGGTTGAGATATTATGCCGCTGTATGTTTCAGTACGTTATTAAGTTTCAATATTTAGGTGTTTATTTATTCTGAAAAATTTTCAGAATAATATTTTAAGATTTTTTAAAAATGTATACAGGGTGTTTTGAAAAATTTGGTCATTGATTAATCACGATCCTGTTAAAGCCCTTGACGTAAAAAGCTGATTTTTGGAAAACGGATTGACTTTAGGGTGTAGAGGTTCGATAAGAAGGGATTTTTCGAAACTCGAATTCTAGGGGGGTGAAACCACCCTCAAATATTAGAATATTTTTTATTTAAAAACCGGTGAGTTTTCGGAAAAACTCTTAAACACGTATATTTTATTTCGTTGTTTTACATATTTTAAATTTTTTTAAAAATATATACAGGGTGTTTCATAAAATATGACCATTGAGTAATCACGATTCTGCTTAAACTGCTTGACGTTTAAAGCTGATTTTCGGCAAACGGATTGACTGTGGGGTTGAGGTTCGATAAGGAGGGGTTTCTCGAATCTCAAATTCCAAGAGGGTGAAAACTACTTATTTAAAAAACGGTTAGTCTTTCGGGAAAACGCTTGGACACGCATAATTTATTTTGTTTTTTACATATTTTGAAATTTTTTAAAAAATCATACAGGGTGTTCCAAAAAGTTGAGTAATTGATTAACCACGATTTTGCTTAAACTGCTCGACGTTTAAAGCTTATTTTTGGCAAATGTGAGAAGATTTTATCCAGTTTGTATGTTAATAGAAATTCTTGCTTTGCTTTATCATCACCATTACAAATTATTAATTCGACGCGAACGAAGTCGCGGGTACACGCTAGTTTAAGTGTAAAATTAATTCGAACTCTAGTGTGTAGTTGGTTTACTTATGAAGAATATACTACACATTTTCTTATATTGTTATTTTTTGACCGCAAATGGTAAAATTATAACTAAGAGCTTCTCGCCCGTCGAGTGAGATGCACCCTGTACGCAATTCAGGATCTACGCGGATGGAGGGGCAAGGCGTAGGTAGATCGGAATGTATAGGTATAGATGAGTGGCGGAATTTTGGCTTTTTTATATCGCAATTTGCGCAACAGCGCTTATTTGTAAACAACCACCGTTTTTAGAGAGGTATTTTATATAACAATCGATATTTAGAAATGTTTTGACACCCTGGAAATACTACCACCGAGCATGTCATTGTTGCAACTTGCAACTGCGTTAATACGCCTCATACTCTTTCAGATATTTAGCAATAAAATAAAGAAACCTGTCATTTTAAGCTGTTTTTTATAGATAACTATAACATGTTCAACTGTTTTTTGCCCATCACTAATCGCTAGATCTTCTCTGGGTTTTCTTTCTTGTAAATTAACAAATCTTTTTAAAAATATATTAATGAGAATTTAATCTACTACCTTTGTTGCCAGTTGCCATATTATCAAGAATTAACTAAAAACTAAAAAAAAATCCAAATTTTTTTTTAAAAATTCCAAATTTTCAATTTTTTTTTTCGCGAAAAAAAACCTTATAATCGTGTTTCTGGGCTCGAAACAGTGGCGCATCCAGAGAGTGAGTCTGGGAGGGGTAGTGGCAATATTTAAATAAAGTAATAGATTTAAATTAAATTTTCGCTTAAAGGTATTGTGACTATGGAAAAAAAATAAACCTAGATTGTTCTGGATTTCTATTTTGATTGATATTATTAATTTATTTTGTGGCAATTTTAATTTATACCAGATTTTCTCATTAATAAATTTCTTCCTGGGAGGGGTAATTACCCCCATTACCCCTCCCGTATATGCGCCCCTGGCTCGAAATATACTACCCCTAAAAATATTTGCTCTTATTTAAGACTCACCCTGTATATAAGAAGTTTGCGAGCTTTAACATGTAAGGCAGATGAAAATATACCTGCCAAGGCAATATGTAATGAGAACAAATTGGATATCATAATTGAGTTTTTAATCATTCTTTTCTATAATTGAGTGTTACGAAAAACTTAGATACTTCTACATGGCAAGCAGTCAAATAGATATATTCAATATCGGTTATCGGAACATTAAAAGCAGGAGTTGAAAGAGTCTTTCACGAGCTCCTAAGCTTAAGGAAGACAATCAAAATTGTTTGGAACAAAAGTTGGTGTTTGCCATTGTTACATGACATACCCTGTATAAAAAGTTTTTGTTAAAGAAACGCACGCAACTAAAAATACCAATCGATCAATTAACTAAATAAGAAAAAAAATAAATTGGTTGTTTTTTTATGAAATTTCTTTGTCTGTCTATAATAATCTCCACAACCAAACAATTCTATAGAGTCGTTTTTTGTACATTTCTCGCAAATTAACCTTTTTATGATATGAAGTTAATGAAATTTAAACCATTATATCACTGACAACAGTTGAAGATAGGCATGGTAGACTCGTCTCTAGGTTTTTTCATTTAAAATAAGACATTTTTTTTTGGCTGATACACACTGTATTACATTATATTATATTAACTAATTATACACCGTATAATTCTTACTGTAAATTAGCCGTTTTAAAATGTTTTTTTTTTGTATTTTAAGAATATGTTTTTTTTTCTAATTTTTGAAATTGCAGGATGAAGAATATTACTACTATAGTGTTGTTAATATTCAAGATTCTGGCCAAGAAGATGTAATGCAAACACCACTTGGGCCTACTAAAGAAGGTCCTTTGATGTTTAAAATTGGAGATATTGATTATGGTAGATGGGAAACAGCATATTTCATATTAAAGTTAGTTCTTTGTTCAAAAATATGTATTTTTGTTCATAAATATTTTTTAGTTTTTCTCATTTTCCTATTTGGCACTGTAGTTCTGCTATATAATGGTAACATGGAAATGAGAAATATACTAGTCCTATTAAAATACATAAGAGTGTTAATAATTGCAAATAAATGATATAATATATACTCTCATTCTTTTAGAGCTGGTGTCTTATACATGTTATCTTCAGCTTCACAAGGAGTACCAATGAGGATATTTCCTTTAATTAATGGGGCCTGTCAAGGAGCCAGAAGAGTTTTTAATTGTCAAAGACCTCATACGTTTCAAGTCATTATTGAAGGAAAAGATTTACATTTGGCTGCACCTGATGAGTATGTAGCTAGTGAATGGTTACAGGAATTAATACATTCCGCCAGTGGGGTAAGCTTAGAGAACGGAATAGTTGATAACAGTTGCTTTATAATTAATTCTTGCAGATGTGTAGTTACAAAGAAAAAAAATCAACTTACTCGTGTTCCCTTCTCATGACCGGTCACCATATTTTAACAATTAGGGAATCATTTCCAAGTACCGTTAACTTATTTCTTCCACAAAGAAGTAAGCATGAACCTATACAAGGTCCTCAAGCTCTTTCTTGTGCCGCTATCACGGATTTGCTTTCATTTCGCTTGCCATCTGCTGAACAAAGTTGGTGCGTTATGGTAAGCAACTGAATACTATTTCACATAAGTTATTGTGTTAAACTAAACAATATTGCAGGAATTTTCATGCAGAGAAGTTCATGAGTACAGTGGCGACTGGATTGTATATTTCTCAACAAATGCCGAGTTAGAGACCTTTATTTCAACTTTAGAAATGCTGTGGCAGTATAGTAATGATGATGTAAGTATTAAAATTGTATTGTTTTAATTTTCTGGCATTAATGCAAATATTTCTTTGAGCAATATTATAACTTCTAATATTTAAGTTTATTTAAGACTAAGTTATCTAAGACTGATATCGGAAATGGAGAACTAACCTCCGTCAAACCGTCTCAGATAAAATCATCTCTTCCGCGACAGCGAGAACGCCTGTGTATCATATGCTATGACGCTACACTTTGTAAGAGCAGGCGTTGTCTTGGTTAACGTTTTTGAAGGATATACAGATCTCACAGAGTGTTGATATTTTGCACAAGGTGTTAAAATTGTACTATGTATTTATTTTTTAGTATTTGGTCAACTGTTATTTTTTTCATTGCTTTTGTCTCTTCTTGCCGCAGTCGAGTTAAAAATAGAGGACGATCACTAATTTTTAATAGTATTTAGATATAATTTTATAATAGCTACTGAACAGTCGTTGTACGCTGAAGGTAGTTAACTGAGAATAAACATATTATTTTCAAACATCTCAGGCTAAAATTTAAAAAGCAGTTTTCTCGGGGCAGTGAGGGATTATTATGAGTTAATATCGTATCGCCCGTACATATTTAGAGACTAAGACTTCTTTTAACTTTTTAGGAGGAAAGTTTTCCCCTAAGTACCATTCCAGAGACGGATCCCTTAAGTAAGAAGTGTGTAGATATATATTCAACCTTGATAAAGACCTGGCCTCCAAACACTGTACATTTACAATATTTTCGAAATGAGTGATACTCGCTCAACCAACGTAACTAAAATTTTCAGTCCGTTACAGCATTCTAGTTACCACACATGGAAAAGAAGATGTTTATATTGTTATGTTATATTTACCTACTAATTTTACTTTTTTACATTGTTATTAATTTATTGTTACATCTATACCGTGACATACATTCTTTTTTTATTATATACCGCATTAAAAGAGTAATTACCATGTTTTGAGATAATGGTAGCTTTAAATAGTTATTTTTTTAATAATCCATGACATTTAAATGCGGCATATAATACGATAAGAATTGACATGGAATATTTATTTGTTGCCATATTTGTTTCATTATGAAGAACATATTGTGATTTTCTAGTCAAAATTGGTTACAATTTTTTTATTAGTTGTAACCTGTATTGTGATAATACCGAATAATTTTTGTATTGGTGTATAGTGTATGGTATTAAGAAAGACAACAATAATTTAGTAATCCTATAAAATATATAATGCTTAAAATATATGCACATGTAGACAATGCACAATAATCAAAATATATCATAAATTGGTAATATTTTGTGTAAAATGGGATGGAATTTAATTCATGCATTTCATGAGGTGAAATGTCTTATTTTACATAATTTACTAGGGAATTACTAAATATTTATAAGGATATAAGAGAATATTTTTTTTGTTTTTAACTTCTAGAAGCTAGAAGTAGGCTCATTTTTATTAATTGCTGTTTAGATGTTAATGAATACTAAAAAAGAATTTGTACCTTTTTTAAAGGGACAATTGGATAATATCATTTTTGTATATATTCTGTTGGGTAATAATTATTATTTCCTCAGTGATAAATTATTTATATGTTATATTCGTTTTAGTTGGCGTTATTTTAATTACCTAATAGCTAATATGTATATACTAATATCCTAAATATTTATCTTTGAGTAGCATAATCTGTGGTATAACACCAAATACAATTATGAAATATTAAGTATTATAAGTGGAGTAATTTAATTAATTATTATTAACCATTTGAACTTAATGCCTGAGATGTAGGACTGAAGAAAAGCTTGACTCTTATGTCTTATCTCCGACCTGTCATTGTCACAGACATATGCAATGTATCTCTGCAACAAGTCTCTAAGATCCAAATAACGAAATAAAACGTTTAAAAGTAAGAACCTGTTGAAAAATTTAGATCAAGGTCATTCTCTTATCTAATTTTAAAAATTTGCATTCACAGCTAAATGCTACGGACACTATTGTCGGGTCGGATGGAGAAATGCGCCATTGTCATATCTGGTTTAGCGAAGCTCTTTCCTTAAAGATTTAGGAAAAATATAGCTTATTATTTTGTGCTTATAGGTTGTGACTAACAGCGTCGGAGTTGTGGCATAATCATTTCTTGAGAATAACATCACAGTCCTACTGAAATGTACACTGTATACTGTTTCCATGCCATCTAACATTATTTTTCAATGCCCTTTTAAAATGAATATGTAATAGTATTTTTAAATTCAAAGATGATATAAAAATGTAATCTAACTAAAACTAACTGAAAACTTCAGGTTGGTCTTCTATCACCCATATGGTCCCAACCTTATTCCACTTGTGAAAGAAAAATACTTTTGCTCTGCTATACCAAAGTTCTTTACAATCTAGACGCACAAATTAGCATCTTTAGAAAAATTAATTTATAATCTTTTGATTAAAAATTTAAGTAATGGTGATAATGATAAAAAAACAGTTGTGTGTATATTTCCAATAAATACCATATCGACAAGCCACAGCCTTGGGTCGGTATTTACATGTCTAGGAGTGAATCGCTATGGCGATCTTGTAAGTCGGAGAGGAAAATGCGAAATAAATATTTCATTTTTATTATAATAAACCATTTTTTAATTAGGTACATAATAACTTATCACAGCTATATTTGATGTGCTTGGAAAAATACTTGCTCTTCTTTCCCTGTCCAGTACATTTTATTGTACTGAGCGTATTGACTGTAAAGATTTTGACCCTACTCAATCATGGGGGAGAATCATGTCAATTTTAAGTAAAACGTGATATTGGAATTTTATAATATAATATTTTATAAAGGAAATTTAGCAAAAATTCACATCACATTGGATGATGTTGGATGGCATGGTATGTGCGAATTGTCCCATCTTAAACAATAGGTATATTATAAAAAAAAGAAGATATTATTTATATTGATATTATGCATAAGATATATTACGTCAGATTCTTCTGACGATTCATCATTGGATAACGTGATATATTATATCTGTAGAGGACAAATAATATGATAAGATAACTCTGCCTTAATTATTTGATTTAAAAAGTTTCATTGTTTTTATTTGAAAATGTTTTAACCTTATATCTAATAATTTTTGGTATAAGTAATATATAGTTAGTTAATATTTATTAAAATTATTGCTACTATATTATTATTACTTTATTTATACATGTTTGCCAATTTATTAAAACAATGGATAAACATATTAACTACTTTTTAATTGAAAAAAAAAATCATATAACTACGAACGTTGCGTAGTAATTAATTTGTTTATAAAATTGGTGACATTAACAGTTTTAAAATATTTTACAAATTAATATTACCTATATGCATATTATAGATCAAAGAACTCAAATATAACGTTAAACAACATTTTCAAATACTAATTTTTAGTAGCTAGTTTTTAGTCAGCTATTTTTCATTCACTAATTTTTAGTACCTTTAGGGTGGCTGTAACGACGACGTCCCGTAATCTTACTGTTAAAACATGACAACTGGTTTTTTTTTATATAAAATCCAATTGTTTTGTTTTAACAGCACGATTACGGGAGGTCGTTGCAGCCACCCTTAGTAGTTTACTTACTTGCATATATGCGTTAAAAATTACATTAAAACTGGTTTTTCTAAAAACTTCACCACCTATGTATTTCGTCAGAGTGTAAACTGGTTTAAAATATTTAATATAAATAATAGAGTTGAGTCCAAATATATGTTTTATTTTATATCCTACTAGCGTGTACCAGCGACTTCGTTCCCGTCGAATTAATCATTTGTAATGGCGATGATAAAGCAAAGCAAGAATTTCCATTAACATACAAACTGGATAAAATTTTCTCACATTTATGTCAGCATGAGAAAAAACAATATGGCAATATTATTATATAACTTGGTAATATTTGAGGGGTAGTTTCATCTCGTTGGAATTTTACTTTCGAAAAATCCGTTTGCCAAAAATAAGCTTTTTACGTCAAGCAGTTTAAGCAGAATTGTGCTTAAGAAATTACCCAACTTTTTGGAACACCCTGTATGATTTTTTAAAAAATTTCAAAATATGTAAAAAAACAAATAAATTATGCTTGTCCAAGCGTTTTCCCGAAAGACATCGTTTTTTAAATAACAAATATTGTAATATTTGAGGGGCGTTTTCACCCTCTTGGAATTTGAGATTCAAGAAACCCTTCCTTATCGAACCTCTACACCCCACAGTCAATCCGTTTGCCAAAAATCAGCTTTAAACGTCAAGCAGTTTAAGCAGAATCGTGATTACTCAATGGTCATATTTTATGAAACACCCTGTATAAATTTATAAAAAATCTTAAAATATGTAAAACAACAAAATAAGATATGCGTGTTTAAGAGTTTTTTTCCGAAAAGCTCACCGGTTTTTAAATAAAAAATATTTTAATATTTGAGGGATAGTTTCACCCCCTTAGAATTCGAGTTTCGAAAAATCCGTTTTCCAAAAATCAGCTTTTTACGTCAAGCGCTTTAAGCAGGATCGTGATTAATCAATGACCAGATTTTTCGAAACACCCTGTATACATTTTTAAAAAATCTTAAAATATGTTAAAAAACAAAATAAAATATACGTGTTTAAGCGTTTTTTATTAAACCGTTTTTTTTATTAAGCGTTTTTTATTAGACCTCTTTTCCGTGCCTCTTGATTATTTGCTCGCTCATTGTGTGGCCCGAGATTTGCGGATGTCCAGAGGAATTCAATGAGAAGTTTGGGCGTGTCGGAGAACTACGCCGGCAGGATCTAGAGGTTTGAAGCGTCTTGAGGCTAACCGACAATGCGCATGGTCAAGCAAGACACATCTTCTACCTGGTCACTAAGGAATGGTCGCCGAGTAAGCCGACTTATCTCAATCTATGGAAGACCCTGATTGAACTCAGAGAAGCCTTGCTAAACAACAACATTACACGATTAGCCATTCCGAAGCTGGCGTGTGGACTCGATGGTTTGAGTTGGCGTACAATCCGGAACATGATTGAAGTCTTGTTCAGATTTACGGGAATCGAGATCCTCGTTTGCTGCTACAACCCAAAGCTGAGATCGGGAGAGAAAACTGTAGACTGCTATTTCTACCAGACTTCGCAATGTACCAGGGGCCAGCTTTGCAAAGACCTTCATTCACCGTGTACATCTCGGGACGAGCATGTGCCTAAGAAGGGGGCAGTGTTGCGGACCCGTGTGGACTCGACCTAACCTAACTATATGTCCGGCCCTCAAATGACCTTAACATCGCATTAAAGAATAGACACCGTAATGATTCATTCGTTCGAGAAGAATCGAGTCCCACTGGAATGGACTAGTACATACGAGAACATTCGAAAACCTTCTCTACGCACCTAACGATATATGGACTATTCTAGAGTTCTTTACCTGTCGGTATAAAAGCCGGCGGCTGTGGCCTACAGGGGACAGTTATAAATATACCAGTGCAGTTGACGCGCTAAAATTCAAAATAAATTCTTAGTTATAAATCGTTTGTAAATAGTTCTATAAGTCTTTTATCGTTATTGTTTTTGTTAATTAGTGTTAAATAAATAGTGTTTAAATAAATTGTGACTTTCTATCCACACGGAACCGACGAAAAACGTAACATTATAATAAGTATTTATTAACACAAACATCCGATACGCTACAGGAAGCAGGTAAGTCAAATTAACGTATCAAAATTCTTTGAACATCTGATCTTTGACAAGTAATAAATAAAAGCTAAAATGCAAGAAAATATACAATTTAGTTAATTTAAGTGAATTTCATAAATGATCGGTTTACTACACGTAAGTATATTATATAGTCACTTACTAGCGAAAAGTTGTTCCATTATTTCACTCAATTTTTGTCGAGATCTACCGCACGCTACACAACCAACTATTTCAGAGTCTTTTTCGATAAATCGCTATAATGTCACTGTTAATTTAAGTTCTGCCACAATTTCCATCTAGATTTACTACCTTTATACAACTATCAGTAGTAGAATAAATAATAAATAACATAAAATAAGCTCCGTAAAGACTGACAAATCCACAAAATTTCAAATCAAATTCAAATGTGTCAAATGAATCGTCAAACAGAACTGTCAAGGATCCCCACCCTAGAGAGCTTTTTCCGCCCACCATGCATGAATACATGGATAGCATTATGCTCCTTCCTTAGTCTAAAGCCCAAACTTTCTGTATGATTATTTTTAAATTTTACGTATGTTATGTTTATTTATGTTATGTTCTTTAAAATCAAAGAAGCGATTGCCATACATTACTAACATCTACAGATGCATAAGCAATACATTTATTTTTATTAGATTGAATTAAAAAAGTCTCTTTTATTTTTCTTTTAGAGGCTATCGCTTCTTTCATTATAATTTTGGCATTATTAAAATTTATTCTGTGCCCTGTGTCCCATGAATGCTGACAAATCTTAGGTTTGTGAAAATCTCCCTTTCTTAAATAATCTTTGTGTTGTTTAATTCTAACATTTAAGGGTCTAGATGTTTCACCAATGTAAAATTTATCGCATTCGCAGGGTATTTGGTATATTACATTTTTTGTTTGTTGTTCTGTATTTATTAGTTTAGTATGCGATAAAATGGATCTAAGTGTATTTTGTGTTTTGAAAGATGTTCGTATGTTATATTGTTTTCCTATCCTTCTTATTTTTTCCGAAACGCCTCGTATGTATGGAATTGTAAGTTGTATATATTGTGTATTGTTATCATTGTGTCTATGATTTGGGGTTTGTATTTCGTTTAATGTTTTGTCAATAAAATATGGTGGATAGTCGTTTTTTATTAATGTACTTTTTATGTGGTTTATATCTCTGTTTAGTGAAATGTCGTCTGTACATATTATTTTTGCCCTATCTGACGTTAACCGCCTGTTGATATTTTCACTGCCAACTCAGATACGGGGTCTTTATGAATTTTTTGCCATTTTGAAAATTGTCCATAACTTTTTTATTTCGCGGAATAATAAAATTCTGTAAAAACGTTCTTAACGCACTTTTTTAAGCACAATTCAAAGGCGTAGTTAGTTTTTTTCTATGTTTGCCCTTTTTGTCAGAAATAATAAAAAATATAATTTTTTAAATGGAAATCATAGTTGGCTATGATCTTAAAAAAATGGTGGCGTTTAACCCTTTCCAACGATATAAAGTTATGAGTATCTATTTCTAAGAATGAGAGAAATATTAGGTTTTTTATTTTTATATCGAAGCGGGCTTTGATTTTGTGTTGACCTATTTGCCTAGTATTTTACACTTTATATTCTATATTATTATTTATCTGCATAATTAAAGACTTTTGAAAAGGTAAATTATTCTATATTAGCATTAGTAATTACAATTGAAATCGATACAATAAACAATGAACAAAACTAAAAAACGTATGTTTTGAGTCACGAATATAGTTTTCTAAAAAAAGCCATCAAAGATGTTCTTTAAAAATATGGTTCTTCCCGTATATATAAGGTCTTTTAATTTCCCCAATAAAAAAAGTCCAAAGGGGTTAGTTAAATCTCAGGACCATTTTCCAATCCAATACTCTCTAAATTCTCCATTTAATAGTTCAGTTATAACCCTGGCGTTTTAATTATAATTGGTTATACTAATATAGAATGTTGATTTACCTTTTCAAAAGTCTTTAATTATGCAGATAAATAAAAATATAGAATATTAAATTGTGACAAAAAATAATTAGGCAACTAGGTCAACACAAAATCAAGGCCCGCTTCGATACAAAGATAAAAAACCTAATATTTCTCTCATTCTTAGAAATAAATACACATAACTTTATATCGTTGGAAAGGGTTACACGCCAGCATTTTTTTAAGTTCATAGCCAACTATGATTTCCATTTAAAAAATTATATTTTTTATCATTTCTGACAAAAAGAGAAAGTATAGAAAAAAAACTGACTACGCCACTGAATTGTGCTTAATTAAGTGCCTTAAGAACGTTTTTACATAATTTTATTATTCCGCGAAATACAAAAGTTATGGGCAATTTTCCAAATGGTAAAAAATTCAAAAAGACTCCGTATCTCAGTTGGCAGTGAAAATATCAACAGGCGGTTTACGCCATTAAACATGTCTCTGAAATCGAGCCCATGACATCTATGTCGGTTTTGCTCCATCTAGTCAGGAAATAGGTTTTCTCTGTTAAAACAGACCAATTTCGACCACCCTGTACATTTTGTTCATATGTTTCTGTGCTTTAAAAAATCTAAAACGTCAATATTCAATGGGTATAGTGATAAACGAGGTCTAAATTATAAGAAAATGCATTTTCTAGGAAAAGTTGAAGAGATATGTAGGTAAAAAATAGTATAATACAATTTGATAAACAATTAAATTGTGCATGTGATTCGCGTAAAATATGGGTGTTCCATTTAAATTAAACAAATTATTGCCGTTTAAATTTAGTAATTATTTAATATTGTTACGGATTCCGTGGGTCCACTAATTTAAACTCACGATAAAATACTTAACGAATTTATTTTTTCTCACTCTGTACACACAATTTATACTGATTATAATACACAATTTATGCCACTACTATTACTCTAACTTTTCTGGCACCTTCGCCAATTAATTCACAATTTAAAACGCGGTATTATCAAATTTCAAACTGTCCAACCGCCAAGCGCGGGCCTTTATATACCCCTACTGACTGTTTCTCGAAGCTTCTGTAATTTTCGATACTTTTCTGCCATCTACCAGTAAATTCTATTGCTTGATTCCCGTACTTGTCGAATTGATTAAGAGATGGCGCCTCATTAAAATGTCTTCAGATTTATTGACAATGTAGGCAACCAGCAATACCATTTTAGTTACTCGCTTCTCCGACAGATGGCGCCTGTACTGTATAAGGACATTCCCATGCTGGACTGGTTAACTTGGGAGACCTTCCTTTCTTACGCTGCGGGTTATATAACCATACCAAATCGTTCTGTTGAAATCCCGTAGAATTAGCTCTGAGGTCGTAACGAGCTTTCATCCAGTCACTGGCTAGCGCAATCTTAGTTCTAACGGCCTTATGAACGTCCAGTAATCTTTCCTTCCTAACGATTCTTTCGAACGACAGTCCAACGTTATCTTGTTCCATTTTTCCCCCAGATCGAGTACTTGTCTGGCTGCGCAAGTCTTACAATGTTGACACCACTTCTGGACATCTTCGCAATAATCCACCCAGTAAAAACATCTCTCAGCTTGCTCAAGGTCTTGTTTACTCCAAGATGGGCTCCAGTTTTACCACCATGAATTTCTTCCAATACCTGGGCAACTTTCTTCCTTGGTACCAGTAACTGAGTTGTTACTGTCCTGCCATCCGCACTTTCCCACGTGCGCTTTAACAATCCATTCTCAATAAACAGTGAATTCCACTGAGCCCAGAGAGCTTTGAAAATCAGCCCTCTGTCCGCAATATCCTACCACGATGGTCTCTCGCCGTTACCCTCCTTGAGCCGTAGTATTGCTCCGATGTCTGGATCTTCCATTTGATCTTTCCTCAATTGTGTCATTATCCATTGTTCGTCAGTTCTCAGTTTAAAATTCCTTACTCTGATAGTGCTTTCACGATGTTTCATTTTCTTGTCCAAGTTAGCTCGTTGTCGATCTGGCTCGTTGTCGATATTTTGTACCCGTCCTACACGGCACCCAGAGGTTTTCTCCATTTTCCCGAACACTGTCTTCTTGGTACCACCAGGTATCATCACAATTTCTGCTGATCTTGCTTCCATATTTTCCGAACTTTTCTCTTTAAATACAGCAAATTCCTCATTTCCGATTTTCATGATGTTTCTATGGTGATTGAACGAAAAACCATGTTGACTGATCACATCCATACCCATGATAAAATCATCTTCAATGTCTGCCACTCAAACGCTATACCGAAACTTCAAATTCCCTAACTCCAGTTCAATGAAAGCCTCTCCCCGTACAACGGCTATTTCCCCCGTAACTGTACGTAAACACACTCTTCTTCTAAGAGGCATCAGCTTGAATCCTTGCACTGAGTTAGTCCGCACCAACGATACCATAGCGCCTGTATCCACAGTCATTCGAATTCTTCTATCATTGACCTTCCCGTTGATCAGTAAACTGTTAGCGGTTCTTCCTATAATGGAAAACATCCTAGAAGTTCTGTTTTCCTCATCCAATACTCGCCCATTAGCATTGATTTCCTAGTGCCTATGTTCTCTGGATGGTGAACGGGATCGCATTTGGACGCGGCAATCCCGTTTGATGTGGCCATTCCTGCCACATCTATAGGATCTTATGTCTTGGAATCTTCTCTGGTTCTCTGTCTGGGTGTTGTTGACTTCCTTGTTTATTAGGAGCTCACCTTGTTTTGTCGAATTTTCTACACATCTCCAAACTTCTGTGGGTACCCTCGGGCTGTTCCTCGACCGTTACCAATCTTATTTTTGGTTTTGGAATGGCGCCAAACGCAGCTTCAATTTCCAGCGCCCCTTGATCAGTGCTTCGCTGCTAGTAGAAAATCGGGATATTTGCAGCGCCCTCTGTAATTCGTTGTCCCTCAGTCCGCTGATAAAACACTGGACAGCGAGTTCCTCTCTAAACCCTTCCGGTGCTTCTGGATATGCGAGGTGTACCAGTCGACGTAAGTCTGCTTCGAATTCCTGCAGACTCTCTCCGGACCTCTGCAGGCGTGTCTTGATCTGGGCCTGGTAAAGTTGACGTCGATGTTGATCGCCATATCTTCTGTCCAATGGAGCAACCAATGTTTCGTATTCCTGCTGTTGGGCTGCAGGAATAGTTTGCAGCAGTTCCAGGGCAGGGCCACGCAGCGCGATGACAAGTGCCGCTGCTTTCTCCTGGTCTGTACAACCGTTGGCAGCGGCGGCAGCTTCAAACTGGTGGTACATGGTCCAGGTGGTTTGTCCATCGTAGGTTGGGGCCTTAAGGTTCGCAGTTCCAGGAACGCCAGATGTTCTTACTTCTTCCTTGGTCTTCTGTAAGTCCATCTCTAATTTTTCCATTTTCTGCTGAAGGCGCTCCTCCAGATCTTCTACGGCTTGAAGTTGTATTTCTTGTCTTTCTTTCAGATCTTCAAAGTTCTTCTTCAGACGATTTTGATCTTCTTGTCTTTATTTCCGATGTCGCCCCTCCAAACGAATTTCCAAATTACCTAATATTTTCTCAAGCCTGTCCTGTTCTTCTTGTTTGTCTCGTTGTCGTTGAATTTTCAGATCTTCAAAATTTTTCTCAAGCCGGTCCTGTTCTTGACGTCGTAATTTTTCCTCTTCCTTTTCTCTTCTCATATTCTCCATAAAACCTTCTAATAATTTGCTCAGTTCCTCCATTTTCTTCGCTTGTTCTCTTGTATCAACCATAAAATTCTCCAATCCGGTGTAAAATCTTCAAAATCCACTTAAATCGCACTTCCAACACCAATTGTTACGGATTCTGTGGGTCCACTAATTTAAACTCACGATAAAATACTTTATTTTTAAATACGAATTTATTTTTTCTCACTCCGTACACACAATTTAATTTATACTGATAATAATACACAATTTATGCAACTACTATTACTCTAACTTTTCTGGCACCTTCGCCAATTAATTCACAATTAAAAACGCGATATTATCAAACTTCAAACTGTCTAACCGCCAAGCGCGGGCCTTTATATACCCCTACTGACTGTTTCTCGAACCTTCTGTAATTTTCGATACTTTTCTGCCATCTACCAGTAAATTCTATTGCTTGATTCGCGTACTTGTCGACTTGATTAAAAGATGGCGCCTCAAGGTCTTCAGATTTATTGACAATGTAAGCAACCACAATACCATTTTTGTCACTCGCTTCTCCGACAGATGGCGCCACACACACCTTGATAATATGAACTTTATAAGGTAGCATAATTTTTATTATTGCAACACCATTATCTGATCGATAAATAATCTTCAATAAATATTTAGTATTAAAAACTTTGATACCCTTGGAGAAATGAAGCCTTAATTTTTTTACTGCAATTTTACAAAATTGAAAATATTTCAAAAACGGTAAGGTTTAAGTGTGATAAACCTTAATGAAAATTACCTTTATTTCAATCGTAGAATCTAAAAATAGAATAATACACAGGGTGTTCCATTTAAAAAAATACAACTATAATATTTTTTACTTATTTGGGACACTCTGTATCCTGTAAAATTATTTTTAAATTGTAGCTCTAGTCCTTCAACGAACCCAAAACTTACAATTTGTAAAAATCTAATTGTTTAGCTACAATACTCCGTGTCGTATGTGGTGAACAAACCTGTATTATAAGGAAAACAAAATGTTATTTGAGCGAAAGTATGAAACACCCTGTGAACTGTGAATGGTTGAACAAAGTAAAAAAAATATTAACAAACATTTACTTAACGTTAATTATTAATTATACATTATTAAGGTTCAAAATGTCCTCGACATTTACGACTATGTTTTGCTTTTTCTATATCAACATCTGGATATTGCTGTTTTAATGCCTCCATATCCATGCCAGGGAAACGTTTTAGTAAGCCAATAACATGATTGAAATCTCTCCTTAAAATTGTGATTAAGAAAATATATTAATGTATTTTTATCCATTAAATTTAATGATTTACCTTTGCTTCCTTTTTTTCGTTAAATATAATTTCTCATTATATTTTAACAAAAATGCTTCTACATCTCTATCATATTTATAAAACTGGTATTTCTGTTGCCACTTTGTATTCATATGCTTTGGTACTACGTGTTCAGACATTCTAAAAATAATGTGGTTATTAATGTTACTATTATAATACAGCGGATCAAATTATCGTAAAATAAGAGCGTTTGTCATTTTTAAACCACAATTTTAAGAGCAATGGTTGTGACAACAATTACTGATTAATTAGTAGTTAATAATTAACCATTTATCCATTGTAAATTGTAATCACGTTTATATACAGGGTGGTCCGAATAATATTCCGGAAACTTCGGTAGCATATTCTGCAGATAAAAACAAGTAAAACAGTTCGTATAAAATATATGTCCTAAAATGCTTAGTTTCGGAGATACAGGGTATAACACAGGGTTTTAACACATTTTCAAATGCCATAAATGTTATAATAACTGATTATAAGTTTAGATATTATTGTTGTAGAGCCTGGCCATTATATTGAGTACATATTTTAATTTTGTAGAGTAATTAATTATTATATTGTAATTATTACTTACATACATATATTGAAACTGCATTTACTGAGACACTTAAATTTGATATTTTATTTAATAAAATAAAATTAAACACTTATTGATTTTTTAATCGTTACCCTTATGTGAAAAGACATCTTATAATAAAAGTTTTGCCGTTTTTTATTTCTTTCACTATCCTCCCTCAACTTATTTTTTTTACATTGCGACAAATATGTAAGTTTTTTTTTATTTCCTTAAAATACTGTCGGTCGATCTGCACGCCACTGGAAATTTATGTTATCTCAGGGTCTTTGAATAAGAAGACTAAGGAAGGAGCATATCAAAAATCTTACGTACACCGCGATGGGCCTCAAATATGGCCGACTTAAATTCCGGTTTATCAGTGTCGTTCTAATTTTATTTAAAAAATATAAAACTATGATGTAGGGTAGACTCAATAATTTTTTGTTTTATTTTACGTTGTGAATAAATGTTGGTAGTTATTAAAATTGTTATAAAAATATATAATTCTAATAAAAATATAAGTTATAATAAGTATTTATTAACACAAACATCCGATACGCTACTGAAGCAGGTAAGTCAAATTAACGTATCTAAATTCTTTGACATCTAATCTTTGACAAGTAATAAAAAAAAGCTAAAATGCAACAAAATAATTAAATTAAGTTAATTTAAGTGAATTTCATAAATGATCGGTTTACTACATGTATGTATATTATACAGTCACTTACTAGCGAAAAGTTGTTCCATTATTTCACTCAATTTTTGCCGAGATCTACCGCACGCTACACAACCAACTATTTTAGAGTCTTTTTCGATAAATCGCGATAGTGTCACTGTTAATTTAAGTTCTGCCACAATTTCCATCTACATTTACTACCTTTATACAACTATCAGTAGTAGAATAAATAATAAGTAACATAAAATAAGCTCCGTAAAGACTGACAAATCCACAAAATTTCAAATCAAATTCAAATGTGTCAAATGAATCGTCAAACAGAACTGTCAAGGATCCCCACCCTAGAGAGCTTTTATGGTGGCTTTTCCGCCCACCATGCATAAATACATGGATAGCATTATGCTCCTTCCTTAGTCTTCTTATTCAAAGCTCAGGGTGCATCCACATCATCCTAGAAAAAACGGAACAACGTATCGGCGTAATGACCTTGTATTGATTTCCAGCAATTCTATTGGCTGAAATTTTTGACAGATGAAATTTTTGACAGATAAATTTATCAGCCAATAGAATTGCTGGAACTCGATTCAAGGTCGTTACGCCGCGCCGTTCCGCTTCTTCTAGGATGATGTGGACGCACCCTCAAACGTCTAATTCTGTTCTTTTGTCGTGTCGCTGGCGACAGTCGCAGTTCTGAGAATGGGGCTTTATACACCTACATCGTTGCCATTGGGAAGATAACCTATTCCCTTCTCTATGCATTCTCTCGCACTCGTTGATTTACGGAAACCAATGTGTGATGAAGTTTTAGAGCATTTTATGAATGAATCATTATATCTCCCGTGTTTTAATATCTTTGGTCACAACCTAATGCTAAACATACCGGTAGTAAGTGTAATGTGGTTATTATAAAGACTGCTTAATTTATGTAATAGAGAAAAAGTAAAAGATACATTTAATATATATATATTTCATACTTATAATAATATCTCAGACCGAGGCGAGATGTTACATGTTTTCCTGGCCTCTCACCAGTTTCTCCCGTTTCAAGTTCATGATAGGCTTTATTTCTTTCTCTAATTACAGCTTCTAAATTTTCCATAGATTCTTCAACTTTATCTAGTCGTTCCGGGCTTGGAAATAGTTGGACTTGTTCGTTAGCCTCTTGTTCCATTGTTAATAGCATATTTCTTTCTTTAAGTAAAACGTACCTAGGAGTATTTTTGTTATTTAAAACCATCAAGATCAAGAGATAATAAAAATGTGGTAATTATTGCATATACAGGGTGGTGCCTCCCATACGACGCGGAGACTCCAAGGAGAACGGTAGTTTATATCGAAATTAAATTTTGCGATCATATATACGTTACGAAAGCATTTTATAAAAATATGTACACTTATACAGGGTGTCCCCAAAAATGTTACATATCAAAGTTGTGTTTTTTGTAATGGAACACCCGATATATTAATTGATTTTCGGATTCTAGGAAAAAATAAAAGTGAGTTTTATAAAAAATGCATATTACTAAAATGTAAGAATTTTGACATATTTCACATTTTGTGAAAATGAAGATTAAATTTTAAATTTCAATAACATCTACCAAAGTTTTAATTAACTCTGTATACCCCGATTTTTTACAATAACTATTGTTTGTTAAACCAAATTAAAATTTGACCCGATGAGACAAATTTAATATAGAGCATTAGTCACTTTTAAATCATCAAGTTACTCCTTTATTTCAAATGGAACACTCAGTATATTATTCCGGTGCTCAATGTGGAATTAATGTCTTCAAAATATTATTAAGATTGCCTACCCCTTAGGCAAATATTTTCCTAGGTATTTTAATTTTTATGATTTTGCGTTAGTAGATCTTTATTATTTGAAAAAATCTAGGGTGGCTGTGATATACCTATTGTTAGTTTAACAAAAACTAAAAGATGTATAGTAAAATATTCAAGGGTAATAAAAAATACACGTTTAAAACATATTAATTATTACAGAATTAAAATTAGTATAATTATGTGACAAAAATTACCTTTTTTTTTTTTTTTTGTTTTTGTTAGAGAAGAGGGGAAGCGATTTACCGCCGAAGTGTGGGGCTCAATGCGACAATACCATATTAGCCGCATAATACCCACTAAACCCCTCTCCTATGCTAGGAGTGGATGTCGATCGCCGTGAGGCATACGGATGCATCCACTCCTACCTTTACTAGTCACTCCGTCGACGTTGAATCGCTCTAGTAGCTCGCTTAAACTTAATCTTTATTATCACAGAATCGATTATCACTGACAGGGGCCCATGCAGGACAATTTACATAGTTCTATTAGGTCTTGCGGCCACTACCTCGTCGACTTCAATAAGAATGTTGAGACACAACTGGTCAACAGCCTTCCAACAGTGCTCATCACGCAGCATAACCGTGATGAGGCTTCCCTCAGTCAGGTGTCCTGTGATGGCTTCCGTCTCAGTTCTCAGTGCCGCATGTCGGTCGCATTTCAATAGTACCTGCCCGGCATCCTCTACATCGCCACAAGCTCCGCAGTGAGAAGAGGCAGCTTTTCCGATGCGATGTCTGTAGGCAGCGAACGTACCATGTCCGCTCAGAAACTGCACCAAGCAGTAGGTCAGTCTCCCATGGTCTCTCCGTAGCCATGGTCTCAGGTCTGATATCCAGCACCGAGTCCATCCGCCCCGATCGCTGCTTTGCCACTTCTATTCCACAGCTCCAGGAATTTTTCTTTTTTTGCCTTGATGGCACCTTTTTCTAACCCGTAAGATTCGCTCCTATATCTAGCTTGTAGGTCTAGAGGCATTATCCCAGCGAGCACTTGTAGTGCTTCTGTGGACACTGTCCTGTTTGCCCTGCTTACATATAGGAGCACCGTCCTCTGTGCCCGGTTTAGAGCGTCAACATTCTTTGCCAGCTTTAGAGCGGTTTCTGCCCATGTGGGTGCAGCATACAGCACAGCCGACGCGTGTGCAGTTGCCAGCATCCTGCGTGCCCAATCGCCGGCGCCACCATCGCGCGGCATGAGTCTTGTTGAGCTCTTGCACTCTCCGCTGCATTCTTTGCCTTTGTCTGAGTGTGGTAGACAAAGGTGCCATTTTTGTCTAGCCAGGCGCCCAAGTATTCTTGGTAGAGTAATCTCGTCCTTAATTGGCAGAATGTCCTTACTCCCAGAATGTTGACCTCCAAAGCCCCTACCAGTTTTGCTCTGCCGGTCAGTCTGCAAACACAGGTCTTTTCAGGAGCTAGTTCTAGCCTTCTGCTTTCTATCCACTGTTTTATATTTTCAGCGGCTATCGTTGCTAGTCTCTTGGCTTCATCCAGATCTTTACCTATAGACACAACGCCTAAGTCATCCGCAAAGGCTATCGTGTAGACGCCACTGGGTTGATCGATGGCGAGAACCGGATCATACATGATGTTCCACAAAAAAGGTCCTAAAACTGACCCCTGTGGAACTCCCATACTGACTACCTTACTGTAACCACTCCCAGTAAGAACCACCCGTTTGGAGAAATAACTCTTTACGATGTTGAGTAAATATTTCTGTATTCTCCTTCTCTCCAGCTCTTCTATAATTTATTATGTCCCACCTGGCCGTGTTAAACGCATTTTTCACGTCCAAAGCTACCATCAGGCAGGTCTCCCTGTGCCTGTATCCACCAGCTTTTGCGCTCTCAGCGAGCTGCAAAATTCTCTTAACAGCCTCCACCGTGGAGCATCCCTTGCGAAACCCGTACTGTTCTGAGTTCAGTTCTTCATTATTGGCTGTCATATTATCCTCCAATCTTGTATGGATTATACGCTCAAGTAATTTGCCCATCGCGCTGATTAAACAGATTGGTCGTAGGCCTCCAGGCTCTCCTGGGTCTTTTCCCGGCTTCAATCAAAACGACTCGTGAACTTTTCCACTGATCAGGAAAACGTCCCTCGCGCAGTAACTTTGTCATGGCCTCTGCCAGCTCTTCGGGATAATCATCTGCCAAAATCTTTACCGCCTCTGCAGGAATGTTGTCAAGTCCTGGAGCCTTGTGGATTTCCAGGGTGGCTGCCGCAATTTTTATCTCCGTTCGTTCGATGAGAGGGATACTATTTCCATCAGTTGAATCTAGCTCCCATCTAATTATAGGTGTGTCAGGAAACAGTCTATCTACCTGCACTCTTGTAATGTTATCCGGCACTACTGGGCTCACCTGTTTGCCAAATCTTTTTGTCACAAGACGATATGCCGTGCCCCAAATGTCGTTTTCCACCTCGTTAATGAGATTTCTGAACGAATCTTTTTTTGCAGCCTCAATTGCGCGTTTGGCAGCTCTCCTGGCTATTACGAGTTCTTGCCTGGCGGCAGTCTCTTCCTCCGTTGGTGCACCTCTCTTGTGTAGCCTCGCAAGCCTGCGGTGTGCAGCATTTTTGACTTTAAGAGCATCGGAGACTTGAGGTGTCCACCAATACACGGTGTCTTTCCGTGGTCGCCCTTTGGGCCTAACACTATCGCACGCATTTCTTAGTGCTTTTTCAATTGCCTCTATAGTATTTTCCCTGACAGTAAGCATGGATTCAGCGAGCCTGTCTCTGAATCTTGCGGTGACATGGTTATTCCATCTAATTTGTCTATGAGGTGGCCTATGTTCTTTCAAGGTTAGACTAGTATGAAAGATTATGGTTCTGTGGTCGCTCGCGGAATCTTCGTCAAGTAGCTTCCAGTCCGCATTAATATTGTTTGCCCCTGCTTTCCAGAAGGTGACATCGACAATACTTGATCTGCCACCCTTGCTGAAAGTGGGCGTATTTCCCTGGTTTAATAGTTCTAGGCCATTTTGTGCGGCCCACTCAGCGATCATAGTGCCTCTGGTATTGTTACATCTTGAACCCCAGCTAACATGCCAGCCGTTCATATCGCCACCCACGAGGAGACTTATTCCATTTGGTGCCGATTGCACTAGCCCAGACATCTCATCAAGATCATTTGAGACCTCTCCTATCGTGGCGTTGGGGTGCAGATATACAGATAAAGCAATCATTTTTCCAAGCTTGGCAGCTACATAGCTCCTTCCCTTCCAAAGTTCGTCGCAGGCTCCGTTTCTCAACCAGATAGCTGCATTGAAGTTTTCACTACAAACCCATCCAGGGTATTTGTTAAGGACAGCTTTGTTTGGTTCAGACACTAGTGCAGTGTTCGCATCATATTTATTAGCCAGGACAAATAAGGGACAAAAATTACCTAGATGAAATCAAATGCTCAAAATGCTTCTTCTCCTGTTCACTGCATAAAATGATTATCTTTTCAAAAGATATTTTTATTTTAAATTCATACGTGTTCTACTTTTAAAAGCAGCTACAATCATTTCTCTCATGTTGTCGACAATAGTTGGTCGAGTTTTGTAAACACTGTCTAACATATTATTTCCATACAAAAAAGCATAGACTAGATAAAATCGGGAGCATTTAAGTATTCTATTAATTGGCGAATGCACACTGCATTCACCAACTAATAGAATCATATCAATTCTCTCTGATGCATGATGTAGAATAAGTTTACATTTTCGGCAAATTTCTGAATTTGTTTTTGTTTTGACTGACACAAAATAATAACTAGTTATTAAAGTTGGACGAATTAGGCAGCTATGTTGCAGTAACGTCAGACATATCACGGCCACCTAGATTTTATCAAATAATAAAGTTCTACTGAGACTAAATCATAAAAATAAAAATATTTAGGAAAATCTTTGATTGAGGGGTAGACAACCTTAATAATATTTTGAAGTGACATGAATTCCCCATTGAATATACTGGGTGTTCCATTTAAAATAAAAGAGTAACTTGCTTTTAAAGGTCACCAATGTTTGATATTAATTTTGTCTCCCCTGTATTACTTTTTGGGTCAAGTTTTAATTTGATTTAAAGTACAATAGTTATTTTAACTTCATATTAGGGTATACCGGGTAAATTCCAATTTAGACAGCTTTTATTGAAATTTAAAAATTGCTTTTTATTTTTAGAAAATGTTAAATATGTTAAAAACCTTACATTTTAGTTATACCGGGTGCGTCTCAAAAGCGTCTCACCCCTATAACTTTTTTACTTTTTCAGTTAAAAAAATGAAATTTGGTATGTTAGTATATGACATAAATTAGGATTGATTGACGTATTCAATTGTTTTCGGAAACTTCCGGTTTCACCGGAAATGACTACAACTTTTGATTTTTAAATGGCACCCTCGGTATTTTTTTATTTAATTCGATAGAAAATAACATTCTGAAAAGAATGACATATCATATGTCAACTTTTGACATTTTCGCATATGGTTTATTTGAAATTATAACTTGCGGTTCGTAAGAAAAATTTGACTGGAAATACCAAGTGTGTGGTGTCAAATTATTCGTAAAAAAATGCTTTTTCCAAATATGCTAATAAGCCACCCTCGTTTCATTTGAAAAAATTGAAATATGATTAAAAATACGACTTGAGCATTTTCTAACTGGCCAGGACAAGACACTAAAAACATTAGACGATGAAATCTATTTTTCCAAGGCTCCTTGATTAAGAATCGTTGTTTTTAACATAGCCATAGCACTCTAGATTGAATTTTAAAATACAATTTTTGATTAAGCAAAAATGTCAAAAATTGACATATGATATGTCATTCTATTCAGAATGTCATTTTCTATCGAATAAAGTAAAAAAATACCGAGGGTGCCATTTAAAAATCAAAAGTTGTAGTCATTTCCAGTGAAACAGGAAGTGACCAAAAACAATTGAATTCATCAATCAATCCTAATTTATGTCATATACTAACATACCAAATCTGGTTTTATCTGGAAAAATAAAAAAGTTATAGGGGTGAGCCACTTTTCAGACGCACCCGGTATACTTCTCTAATAAAACTCACCTTTATTTTTCTCCTAAAATCCGAAAATCAATTAATATATAGGGTGTTCCATTACAAAAAACACAACTTTGATATGTAACTTTTTTGGGAACACCCTGTAGAATTCTGTATATTTTTAAAAAGTGCTCTGAATTAACGGTATTAACCTACATATGCTCACAAAATTTTATTTCAATACAAACCTATGTGTTTTGTGATACAAACTGTCGTTCTCCTTGGAGCCTTCGTATGAGAGGCGCCACCCTGTACAATTACTATTTTTGGATTATACAGGGTGCATCTCAAAAGTGGCTCACCCCTAGAACTTTTTTAAATTTTCAGATAAAACAACGAGATGTGGTATGTTAGTATATGACATAAATTAGAATTGATTGACATATTCAATTGTTTTCGGAAACTTCCGGTTTCACCGGAAATAACTACAACTTTTGATTTTTAAATTGCACCCTCGGTATTCTTTTTTCTTTATTCGATAGAAAATGACACTCTGAATAGAATGACATATCATATGTCAACTTTTGACATTTTCGCATATGGTATATTTGAAATTGTAACCAAGTATGTGGTATCAAATTGTTTGTAAAAAATGCTTTTTCCAAATATGCTAATGACCCTCGTACCATTTGAAAAAATTGAGATATGATTACAAATACAATTTGGGCATCTTTTAACTGGCCAGGACAAGACACTTAAAACATTAGACTATCAAATCTATTTTTCCAAGGCTCCTTGATTAAAAATTAGTGTTTTTTGACACACCCATGGCACTCTAGACTGAAATTTAAAATACAATTTATTTTTGAGCAAATATGTCAAAGTTGACATATGTCATTCGATTCAGAGTGTCATTTTCTATCAAATAAAGTAAAAAAATACCAAGGGTGCCATTTAAAAATCAAATCGACGGTTGAAAGGAGAAACTGCTAATACGCCACTTTCGTAACTTTACAGAAGACCTGTTTGTCTGTTTTATTTCGAAACTTTGTCGCTTGGCATTATGTTTCTTATAATTTATTCAAAATTTAAAATGTTTAATGCGCCAAACCATTGGATTATTAGGAAGAAAACCTAAGTAGATCGACGCAGAAAAATTCGCTGATTTCGATAAAAGTGGCATATTAGCCATTTCTCCTTTCAACCGTCGAAATGTTGTAGATATTTCTGGTGAAACAGGAAGTGACTGAAAACAATTGAATATGTCAATCAATCCTAATTTATGTCATATACTAACATACCAAATCTCGTTGTTTTATCTGAAAAACTAAAAAAGTTATAGGGGTGAGCCATTTTTTAGATGCACCCGGTATAGGAAATATTTTATATACTCACATTCTACTGTCCCAAGGGATTAAAAATAAACTGGGAGAGTAGAGAAATTGTGTTTTTTTAAATATTTTTTCAACCAAACAAACTTACGGGATCAGGGAGCGAATAGGAGTGCTGGGGAAGGTCAAAACATTATACTGATTAAGGATACTCATAACCATAACACATTCATTTTACCACCCTTTAATTATTAATTTTAATTGAGAACTTCTTACCATAGTTTATGTAAATCTACATTTGATTTTAATCTCATTTCATCTTTTTTCCATGCCCTACCAACTTTTACGTCGTTTGCACCCCAGTTTTTTTGATCGTCAAAAAATTCCATCAAATCAAATTTTCGTGTTGTAGTTGAGATATTCCTAAATTAAATAACTATTAGCACAGAATATATATCAACATAATTTACCAAATACCTGCTGAATATACACGAAACAATTGGTTCATTTTTTCGAAGACTAACATTATTTAAAAGTTTACATAAATTTAAAATTTTGTTAGAACTCATTTTAAAATAAGTATATCTCTTGTTCAATCTCTTGTCTATGTCACAGGTCTATAGTCTATGTTTTAAAATAGAAACCTCTTGTACATGTAGAAAAAAAATAATAAAACCAAAATCCAAACCTAAAAATTTACTTTGGTTAGGTTAGATCACGGTTAGATCATAGACAAACAGAAAAATTAAAAGACTGCCAGCCAGAAGACATACGACGCGCAGGCAAAGAGTCTTATCTACTCTTTGGCGCAGGCAAATGTTCCTGTAGCGCATCGACGCAAGTGCCGAAATACGTCCATCTAGCTATCTGTGTTTCGACACTAGTCCGTTAGTCTTAGCATATTCAGAAAGAACACGCTAACCTCCAGCGTTGCCAATTTGTGAGGAATTCCCCAAATTTTGGGGAATCCGGAGCCGATTGGGAATTTTGTGGGGATTAGCAATAGGCGGCGAAAATAAGGGGAGTTTCAACATTTTATTGCTGATTGAAAATGGCGTAAAATTTTTAGCTTTAAAAACGGAGCGGGACCATATATCTTTCCCAACTTAAAAATTATAATCTGCTTTTTACTTGTGCTTCCCTTTGCAAATGCTTCAGTTGAAAGAAAATTTAGTGACCTCAAATTATTTAATCACTTCTAGGGAAGGGATTAAAAAACAAGGAGGTAATTTACAGTTTAATCCCTCTAACATATATGTTATATCCATATTTAACCTTCAAATGACCTTATTTACTCTTTATACTTATTTATTCTTATTCATTGTTTATTCCAAAGTTAAACGTATAAGTTCGTTCTAATATAACTCATAAACAATCATATTATGTTTCTTGAGAATCTTTCCAACTACGATGTTCCCATGGTCTCTTCAGTAAACAAGTCGCAGTTCCGTGATGGGAAGCGAAGACTCAGCAACTTTAAGAATATTTAAGAAAATCTCTTTCCCAGGAGGAACAACTCTCGAACGCAACTCGTATCCGTGTCGTATCGAAGTTCATATAATAATTTTATATCTTTATTAAAACTTAATAAAGTGTTTTTAAGCATTTTAATGTTTTTTTAAAATAATAAAAGTGAAAGATAAAATCTAACATATATAATAAATATTGTATTTTTATTAAAATTATTTTTTTTTGTTAAAATAATCATATGGGGAATTTTTGGTGAATCGGGATATTTTTCTCCCCAAATTGGCGAATTTAATTTAGATTTTTGGGTAGTTTAGAAAATTGACATTGGCAATGGCAACGCCGCTAACCTCATTCATTTGTTTGTTTGTTCATAAACCGGCACACGGCGTAGTACAAGGCTTGATCATTTTTTAAGAAATTTTTGATTGTTAATTTTATTTTTGTGCAAACTAAACAGTTGTTTTTTATTAAAAAATAGCAGACAAAGGTAAGAAAGGTGATGTCCATGCAGAAGTTTTTATTTCACAGGCTATTCTTTCTAGAAATTATACCATCCAGCCCTCCTATTTAATTATTAATTGAAAGTGTGAAAGAGATATCAAGGGCTATTCTGTTAAAATATCATCCGGCCAGTCTAGGCCCTGTTGTGAACCAGAAGGTCTGCTAAGTTGGATGTTGGATATAGAATGGAAGGAATATCATGGCCGAGAACAAGGCATAATTGTATGCCCCTTGATGTAGGGGGGTAGGTTTGTTTCTAATAGGCAGTAAAACCAAAAATTCTACTGTGAATCTTCATATTCTAGGCCTGTAAAGATAAATAATTCCTGGAGCCATCTCGAGGTATAGTACTCAAGTCGGATCGAATCAATAGATAGCACGATGAAAAGAAATAATAGCCATCATAAAACTGTAAATATGTATATAACTAGTACAATGTAGCTATTTAACTGTAAGTACAATGTAGCTAGATATTTAGTAGAATAGGGGTATTATAAATTAATACAAAATACAATAATTGGTCATTCTTTCCATTCCCATTCAATTCTTTCCATTTAGTCGTTTTCCCATAAAAAAAGGAAAATTAAAATTAAGAGTGCCCTTAACCAAAAATAGTGAAATAAATGGAGATAGTCAAATTTTATATTAGCGTGTAAGACTTTGAATAAAAAGGTCTAAAAGGATTATAAATGCTGTATTTATATCCTTTAATATCATGATAATATAAAAATTGAGTAGGTATCTCCATTTATTTCACTGTTTTTGGTTAAGGGCACTCTTAGTTTTAATTGCTATAAAAATAATAAGTATAATAATAATTTAAATCTCCCGCTCTTTCATAGTTCGTACCTGTAGCCAACCAGAGGGCGCCAAAAGCGCAATCTCCCAACATTTTACCACGCGATTTGCCACTCTCTAAACTATTAACTTTCTCTATGGGTTAGATCCTTGGAAGGTCCTTGGCGGTCCTTGGGTTAGGTCATAGACAAACTAACAAAAGCAAGACTTTTCAAACGATTGAGGAAGTCCAGGGCTCAGTCACTCTTATGGAGCATTAAATTACAAATTGACGATTCGGCCCACTATAGATGGTGCTAATTTACGTCGTGTATATATGGTTGCAGAACAGTTCTTCGTGTATGTATGGTTGCTTCAAACGTTACGATTGGTTCGGTCTTTAAATTCATTTTATGAATTTTGCGATTGATTTCCCTTTTCCGTCCACACAGTACTTCAAATACTCCTATATTTATGCTTCAAACTATATTTAAGCTGCCTTTATTTTGTTTTTAATACAAAATGTATTTCTCGTGCTTTTTGTATTCCAACTTTTTCATATTATATTATTCAAAGGTAGCCATATTTCTTAGTGCTTCTTGAATTATACAACTGTGATGAACTGCAACGAGATGAATTTTCAAAGTATAAGCAGCCTCTAGGATAAATTTTACATATCCGTTGTAGCAGGCTGAATTCATAATTTATTACCATAAAGATATAATTCTCGTCAAGATATCTGGTGGTGTAGGGGATAAGGCTCTCGTCTAGCAACACGAAGGTAGCCGGTTCGAATCGTGCCGCCGACTGCCGCCGACACGACTTTTTTATTTAATAAATAATTATTTTGACCTTGAAGCCCTGAGCCGCACTCGGCCCACTATAGATGGCAGCAAAAATTTTGTTCGCTTTTTTATTACATTGACTGATCGTTCTGTAGTTATTCTGTGAGGAAGTCGAATTATTGTTTTTGCGCTGGCCACACGGGGGTGTCACTTGTATATGAAAACAGGCAACAGTCAAATTTAAACGTGCCAGGACCAACGACAAAGAAAGCAACATCTGCCAGGCATTGGCTTTCTTTGTCACTCACATTGCTTAAATCATGATACCGCGGCCATTTTGTCAACAAAGAAGCTGGCCGGGCTGTCCTGGCAAGTGATTTAAAACAATTTTGCTTTTTTACAATATTAAATTACCATTTGGATGTATTTAATGCGATTATTCAGTTAACTGGTAAGTCAGAAATTACACACAAATACTTTATTCGTAAATACAACTAAGATGTAAACGTATTTTTGTATTTTTAGATTTCAACTCTTGCAAAGACCCGCTGATAGAACTTGCCTGGCAGCGTACCTGTTTAACTAAACGTATTATTTCCTGATAATAATATCAAAACACGTAAGTACCTCTATAATTTATGATGAAAAATGATTTTGATTATGTTTTATATTATTTAAATACTTTCTAACCTCAAATAATAGTAAGATCCTTGTTTATATCGCACAGCCCATTCAAAACTGTATTGTCTTCAAAAAATGTTTACAAAACAAACAATTATTAAAAAAACAATGTCCTTTTAATCTGATTTATACCTCAGAAGGATGCCAGTAAAATTTTATTAAACAACAACATAATATTATTTGGCAGTTAATATGCAAAAAGGAGCATATTGCCTTAACTTTAATTTTCTTTTACTTCTCCTGACAATGTTCTCTATATTCTCTATTTTAAGTTAGTAAACTTTTGAACGGGAGGTGCGATATATAAAATACATAATATATCCAAGGGTATGATCTGATAAAAGTATTTTTTGATGCATTTTTTGTTTGTTTATGCACGTTGGCTTGGTTTATGTTTTATTCAGCTTATATTTATTTAGTATAACAGTTTTTTTTTGCCTTTGGAATGGCATGCATTGAGGCTAGATAGTGTTTCATTAGATCATTAAAGGAATTTAAATTAGCATATATTTTTTGTCATATTAGTGTGTTATCATGATACAGGTAGTTGTATCATAGTGCCTTATGCATGTTATTTACCTATTATATACTTATGTAATGTATTATCAGTAAATAGATGATAACATACTACTAAAATGTCTTTTAATAGTATGTTTATCTTTCCAATTCACTAGTTATTTGCAAAATGTATTTTGAACTAATTTAAGTCATTAATTGATCATCTTTCTTTTCAGGTTCCGGGATATTCTTTTTCATTGTTAAAAAATATATATATTTCAATATTATTGTAATATAAATCGCAGCTCTAAAAAATAAATGATATTGTTTACTAATGTGTAATTTATTTACTATGAATTTTCTCTGAAAATAATAAGTCTTTAATAATATCATTGATTTGCTGTGTAAAGTTAATAGACATATTTTTAATACATTAAATTATATTAAAGTAATAAAAATATGTTTATTAACTTTAAACAGTAAGTCAGTGATACTTATAAAAGTATTTTTTTAAAAATTTCCCCTCTTTTAAGCCCCGCCCCTCCAATTCCCCTCAATTTAGCTAGTACTGCCAGGCGACACCAGGTGGCGTCTGTTTCCATTTTTTAACATGAAGTTAGCATTTCTTTAATGTACCTATTCTCTGGCTGGCCAGTTGAGTCAGAATTCATCGCGCAGTCGCACTCGTCAAACCTAACCTAAATAAAACGAAAAACGTTTTTGCCTTGAACGAACTGTTGAATTCCTGATTTTGCGTTTTGATTGGTTATTACTATTATTTTATTAGCGTACAAAACGAAAACAAGTAATGTAATACATTTTACACTTATGAAGAGCATAATAATTACTGTGATTATACATATTATTGTGATTACATCGCTAACGTACACAAACCGAAGGTCCTACAAATTGACTGTAAGTTATAAGAATCTTTATCTTTTAAATCTTTTTATGATTTGAATTTTCGTGCTTTATATTTTATAATAGACTCTAAATGTTAATATTTTTTAAATTCTTGTGGAAATGTGAAGTTTATGTTTTTGTTTTATATTTGAAAAAGTTGTATATT